CTAACAACAACAAATATTTGATTAAAATAAAAAATAGTCAGTGCCTACCTAGAGAGCTTCTAAACATCCACACCCCTATTTCTGTACTCCCTGCCCGTTACTATAGTGAGGTAAAAGTCTGGCATATAAGCATCTTAAAAATGACAAGTCCAAGTTAAGTGAGGTGTCCACTAAAAATCATATACACACACAAAAATAAACAAAGGAAAAGCTGCCCAGAAGTTAGAAAGCACCAGAATGCACATATTTTTTAGTAGAAGAGAGGTGAATCTACACATACATTGTCACATAGACAATCTTTTCCCCACCAAACGATCTGCATGCGATAAGGGTATTAGTACATTTTAATAGAAATGTGTCAATATTGCTTTGGGAAAATATTGTTAGTCTACAGTACTGGTATGACCTGTCATAGAAAGGCACTGGTACGAGTAAGGGCAAGACACAGTTCTGCTGCAGCCATGAATGAGGAGAATTTTAAAAGACTGTCCCTTTTGGGTGTGTATAGGGAGGAGAGATGTTCCAGGTATACAGCCAATAACCAGCACCAGGAAGCAGTATGAGTTCAATGAGTGGAGTAAACATTGGCTATGAATTAGGTGTGTATATATTAGGACCCAGAACTTTGAATCAGGAAAAGGTTTGAATTTTCTAAATTATGGATTGAGGCCATTGTCCTTTGTCCTGGATAGAATCTTAGCTACTAGGTGTGGGAATGCAGTATGAGGGAGGTCATAGGTAATACTGTTGGGGAGGGCACCTTCAAACTGTGCCAGGTTCTTCCTTGAAGATTGTTTAAGGATGAAGGTGTTTGCCAAGATTTATGCAGCTTTGACTGTAATTCCAAGACTAACAAACCTGGACTTTGTAAACCTATTTTTATGCTCTTTGGTTTTTGGTAACGGATTGTTTCACCTCAAAACAAAATAAAACAAAAACAAAATTCCAGGAGCTTATGGCCTATGCGTCTCTAGTATTAAGAATCAAGAATTTGTTCATTCTTTTCTGGTCTCTTTTTTAGAAATGCTAGCCTGTCTATTACTACATTAAGGGGGAAACAATGAAAGTTAACATTTATTGAGTATACTATCAAGTTCCTAAATGCCAAGTACTTTACATATATTTATTGATAAAATCCTATAAGGTAGGTACAATTATTATACTTATTTTACAGATGAGGAAATGGATGCAAAAGAGGTTAAATAACTTGCCCAAGATCATACAGGTGACAGGTCAGGAATTGACCCAAGAGAAGAGGCTTAGGTTCCTGTCTGAGTTTTAAAGGGACAGCAGTGTCTTTTAATAATCAGATCTGTCTCCACCATACTAATGAGAGTAAAGAAAAGGGTTTTTATGTACAATTAACCTAAGTGGTAGATCACAGAATATTTAGACACCCTATGATAATGGTAAAATTCAGAGGGACAATGGGTTTTGTTTTGTTTTAGTACAGAAAATCATTTCCATTCATGCACATATTATCATAGCTCCATTACTGATAAGGAAACTGAAGTCTGAAGAAGAGAGATGACTTATTCAGTCATACAATTAAAAAATTGGTGTCCAGGGTTTTGGATTCCAGGTCCACACTGTCCTCTATACTAATCTGCTTTCATCTCTCACTTAAAGTATCTTTCTTCCTAGAACCATATATAATGTGATTTTGTCAAATTTGGCACTTAATTATATTAGATAATTTATGTACAGTTTATTAACCTCAAAGTAGGATATGAACTAGATGGTGAATTCCCAAGGTCAGAGTCTACACCTCTTTCATGTGCTCCTGGCTTTGCCCCAGCTAAGTGCACAGTAAATGCTTTCTGACAGGTTACATGGTTCTCTCTCACACAAAGAGTCTTTGCAGCTGAAGTGAAACTGCATGTCTGTTGCTAAGATCCATGCTCTATACCAGTTCAGAGAGGCACAAGAGACATTTGATTACACAACCCATTAGAGAAGCTTAGGTGGCAAGGGGCCCAATGCAAGAGGAAGGGAGTTGGGTCTGGCAGCTGCCGCAGTGAAGCAAACAGGCAAAGAGCAGATGGACATATAGACAAGCACGCAAGTATCCAAGGCGGTGCAGAGGTGGGTACCTGGGGCTGGATGCACTTGGATTTCTCTTTCAGCTTACCCTGTTAAGAGCCCATGGAAAGGCTGGTGAGCAGGACTCAAATACAGTGGAGTGGGAGGGAAGCAGTAGTGTGCCCAAATCCCTGGTTGCCTGCACTCAAGATCCATATCACTGGTCCTCCTAGCATCCATTTTCCTGATCCTGATCCCAGCCCCATATGCTCAGAATTGATGGGGCTCTTCATACACCTAATAATACAGCCCCTCTAAGCCCCAAACCACTTAGGCCCCTTCAAGTCATAGAATCTCTAGAAATTTCTGTCCTTTTGGCCTTTCATCCCTCATGTGCCTCAGATATGATGGCCACCACTGGGCATTTCTATTGTTCTCATCAGAAGCACTGTATCCAAAGCCATACATTGAGGCCTAGACCCTAGTTCTTCCATAATGAATATTTCCTAGTTAATAAAGATAGTCTACACCAAATCACAGTCCAGTATATCCAAGGTGACTATGTACAGTCATCCAGGTAAGTCACCACATTCTAACTCAAACCCAAGCCCTAAGGTAAGGATCCCCTGTGCCCACCAGGATATCCCAACCTTTACAATCTGTCTCACGAAATTCCCCTGAGATACAAGAGGTTTCCTACCCACATCGAAGTCAAAGTCCCCCATCTCCCAGTCATCTTTTTCAGAGGATTACTCCCAGACAGTTAATATTATGATGAAGCAAAGGAGAATATCAAGAACTTCCTGGGCAGGAAGAAGAGGCAATTTGAGCTCAGAGCAGGGAAGACTTACCTGTACATCTGGGCATGGTCTTTTAACTGGAGGGGATTGGCTGGGGGAGTCACCCATGCCCAGCTCTGCCCGTCCAAGATGCTTGACCACAATGCAGCATTTTACTGGAAAACCCCTGGAGGAAAGAGAACCCTGAAGTGGTGAACTGGTTGACTCAAAAGATAATTTGTCTGGGCTCACCTATGTCCATTCAGGGTAGGGAAAATAAAGGGAGTTCGAGCCCCAGAACTGGCATTGGGAAAAGGTCCAGTTTACCCAGGGCAATAGCCATCTGGCCAAACACACTTACTTCTCCCGACATTTTTCCAGGGCCTCGTCAGCCAGCTCCTTCAGGTTCACAAGTTTTTCTCCCCTATAGAAGGCATCTTTGGGGAGCAACATACATTCCATGTCTTAGACAGGCAGCGCAGCTTTAGCTCTTTAACCCTAGTAGGCACAATGTCTGTGGAGCCTTTTCTGAGTGAATCTCTTAATTCTGGCTTTTCTAGCTGATTTAAGCTGACAAAAGGTTATCTGAGGCAGGACAAGGAAAAGAAAGGCAGGCAGTCTCTACCCTCTATGACAAGCAATCCCCAATACCAATGAGCTGATTGAAGAGTAAAACTCTGGGGGCAGGGAGAAGATTCTAGAGAAGGAGGTAAAGAATTAGTCACCTGTGGTGATGAGAAGGCTGCACTTGGAATCCAGGATCCGTTCACATAGAGACTCTGCAGAGAAGCCTGCAAACTATGGAAGAGAAGAAAGACTGAGGGAGAAAAGGAAACTCTAGGGATTGAATGAACAACAACAAAAAAGTCACACATGAAACCTGTAGGTCTCTAAACTAGGGTTCTATGAGAAACTGGGTAACTGATGTGGACCTTTAGTACAAGCATTCTAAAGTCCTTAGTCTAGTACTTAAGACATTCCATCATCCAAGTCCAGCCATTTCTCCAGAGCCCCATCTCCCACTCCTGCCAGCCCAAATTCCTACCACAATAGAGTGCAGAGCTCCAATGCGGGCACAAGCCAGCATGGCCACCACCAGCTCCAAGATCATGGGCATGTAGATGGCCACTCGGTCACCCTTGCGAATGCCTGCAGGTAAAAGACAGACATCATGAACCATGGATCCTTTCTGTTCCTACTCCTTCCCATGCAGTTGGCCCTTGCCAGCTAACTTTTCCTGTTCCTCTGTTACCAGATTCTTTCCATTCGTTTTCCACTTCCCCTAAATCCTCAGATACCCAAAGGCCAAACCCCACAGTCCCTTTCTCATATCCCAACACTCACCCTGTTTTCGGAGAACATTGCTGAACTGACACACTTGGACCAGAAGCTCACGGTAAGTGATCTGAGTACTCTCCTCTGGCTCATTGCCCTCCCTGAGACACACCAGAAAGAACCAGTCATTAGCGAGTATAACCCCTTTCCCAGATAAAAAAAACATGAACAGTCATAAAATGTATCTAATAACACTAAAGTCTAGGAATGCCCTCTGAAGGTGAGTCACCTGCTATCACACCTTGAGCTGACTGGTCAGATGCTTTGGCCTTTCAAGATGCTTTATACATACACTGTGCCTCATTGGAAAATCTCTGAGTCTCAGTTTTTAATTGATAAAATGAGGGAATGGTCCCTTGTCTTCTATCCAAGGGAAAATGATATCACAGATGTGATTCTTCCTGAGCAAAGTATCAAGACCACATTTGTGCTTTTTACAGTGGGATCTTCAGATCGCTTACTTCCAAATCACCTAAGGAAATCAATTTGACAATAATTTTGGGTTGGGGCTTTGCCTTAACCCTCACTCCTCCTAAGTTTCAGCCTGGTTTCCTCCAGTCTTCTTTCATTTGTTTATTCAACACCAACTATATGCTATAGTATATGTGCAAGGGAGCTTCAAAAAGTTGGTGACTTTTTTTAAAAGCTCCCTTGTATAAGATAAAACAATATAAGCAAAGTCCCTGACATCATGAAGTTCTGGTACGGCATCATAGGATGCGCACTCTACCTCAAGGTCAGTTTGAACCATAAGGTCAGTGGTTCAGACTCACCAGATGTTCCTTGGGAACCCTACACAGGGTCTCCATGAGTTAGAACTGACTCAACAGCTATTAACAACAATTCCAGTAATAGTGCAAGTAATAAACAAAAAACAAATATATCATGATAATTTGATATTATGGTAAGAATTATGAAGGTAATAAAGCAGAATGATAAAATAATGAGTGATTGGGGAGAAATACTTTAAAAACAAGACATTATCTTAAGGAATTTTGGTGATTGTATTCAAAGATTCAGTAATAAGAATGTTGCCTTCAATGTCTTTCTTTTCTTCAATTTCATGATATTCTGAATAGATAATGCGCAACAACAGTACTATATAAAAAGATATGTAATGGTATGTGTCCCATCCGTATCCTCCAGTCACCCTACCTAGACGCAATCACTGTTACTGGTATTTTGGGTAACTTTGCAGAGATAATCAACATGTAGACAGGATCAACTTTACTAGGATGGAGGGCCAAAGGAAACTCAACTAGTATGAAGTGACCAAGATAATTACTTGGGAAGTAGATGACCAGCTTCCTTCCAAGGAGCCTCTGGATGAACTCAAACTTCCAATCTTTTTGGTTAACCATTTGCACCATTCAGGGACTACAACATATATTTATACTTATAAGTTCTCCTTTTTCCTACACAAATGGTAGCATACTGTACACATTATTCTGTATCTTCATAAAAATCTTAATGAATATGTACATTCAATAAGCTACACAATTTGTAAGTGTGGAGGCTCAATCATCTTGCTTTTTTAAGAACTTTAACAGTATACTTTGGTGTTATTCCCATCATTCTCTTTGTCAGCTACATAATATTCTACTGTCTGGATGTACTGTAATTCATTTAACAAATAAATGCCTCAATAGATGTCTTTATTCAAGGGTAACAATATTAATGGACAACTGATTTAGATAGAATTACTAGGGAAGGTCTTTCCTTGAGGAGGTAATATCTGAGCTAAGACCTTTGTAATGAGAAGCAGGCAATCATCTGAATACTTAGGAAGAGTACTCTGGGTAGAGAGACCATCTGATGGAAAGGCACTGAGGCAGTAAGGAGCTTGTCCTACTCAAAGAACTGAAAGAAGCCAGTATATAGCTGGATCAGAGTAAGAAGGAAGGTAAGAATGAGAGGTAGGCAGCAACTAGATCACACAGGGCCTTGTAAACAATTACAAGAAATTTTCGTTTTATTCTAAGTGGCTCCCTGCTTCCCTTACACACAAAGTCAGGCCTACCTCCACACTTTTCACCAGACCATTTCCCTTGCTCTGAAGGCCCTCCTTCCCCACTTCGGGCACTAGCACTACAGTCCAGGCCATTGTGCTTCCTCGTCTTCCTTACTACCTAGAGTATTTATGAAAGGCAGAAAGATGCAATAGCTTGACCAAGGTCACACAATGATAAGTGTCAGAGTTAAGAATAGATCCTCAGATTTTCTGACTTCAAGTAAGGGCTCATGTCCTTCATAGTGTGAAGATCAGGGGCTGCAAGAAGACAGGTCTTTTCTCACTGATGGAGGTTATTCAGAAAACCAGGTCCTGGCGCAATGAATCAGTTATGATCATCTCCTTGGCTTAGCCTCCTTTGGCTGAGCACAGCCAAGCACAGGCAGCTAATTAAAGTGGAAGGAACCAGGAGAGAGGAGGCTGGCAAATAGCCCTGAATACCAGGGTCAGCAAATCCATTTTCTGAACTGTACCACTGACAAATGCTACAGGAACTTCAGTAGATTTCCACATATACCACACACTCATGCAGCAATCTCCACATGGATATCACACACCAGCTCACCCGTGTTCACTAGCATACATAAAATTACATATATTAATATATAAGCATTCTAGGCACAAAGCTACCCATTTGCATAAGTAAGCATAAATATATGCACCCAGGACTCAGACATGGACCCATTTACAGATATACTTGCACAGCTTGTCCCTCCATTTACTTTTTCAAGTCATTTTGTTTGATTTCTTCCTGGAATTTCCCATTCTTTGTATTTTCACTGATATGTAAGCTCTATGAGAGCAGAGCTTATCTGTCATATTCAGTGCTACATCTTTAGAACCTAGAATAAAGTCCACACATCAAAGGTATATAGGAATAGATAAGCAGAAACCCATACAAGTATAGCTCACTTAAGTGCACTTGTAACTACACATACATACACACACACACCACAGTGTACATTCTTCTCCCTGGGTATGAGCTCAAGTTATACATTATTGATATTGGCACTTTACTCCTTCCAGTCAGTGTCTTCTTTCTCTGACATACACACCAGGCTAGGGTCACTGACTGGTTGGGTGGGGGTGGGGAAGGATGCTGGCTGACTGCAAGATTTTCATGCCCTTAAGGATGTTAGCACTCTTTAAAAAATATCCAATTTAAATGGATCTCCACATGCTGAAAAATGAAACCATATCCTTGCCTCACACCATATACAAAAACAAGTTAAAAATGGATTAAGGATCCAAATGTGCAAATTAAAACAATAAAATTTTTGGAAGAACAACTAGGGGCAACACTGTCAGGTCTAGCTCTCAACAATGGATTATCTAATATAACAACCAAAGCACAAGCAGCAAAATAAAATATGAAACTTTTGTTCATCAAAAAATCTTATCAAAAAAGTGAAAATGCAAGTTATTGACTGGGAGAATATCTTCAGAAACCATATATCCAGCAAAAGTGTAATAAACAAAATATATATAAGACTTCAATAGCTTCACAGTAAAAAGACAACTCAATCATAAAACGGGCAAAGGACCTGAATAGATATTTCACCAAAGAGGACATTCAAACAGCCACTGAATATATTGGCCATCAGAGATGCAAATCAAAACCACAATGAAATACCATTTCACTCCCACTAGGATGGCTAAAATAAAAAAATAAACAAAACAGAAAAACAACAACTGTTGGCAAGGAAGTGAGGGAATTGGAGCCCTTATCCATTGCTGATGGGAATGCAAAATGGTACAGTGTATCAGTGCCTCTAAAAGCTAAAAATAGAACTACCATGTGACCCAGCAATTTGACTCTTAGGTATACATGTATACTCAAAAGACTTGAAAGCAGAGACCCAGAAACAGACTTGTACACAATGTTCATTGCTAGACTATGCACAATAGTCAAAAGGGAGAATTTGTTGTTGTTGTTGTTGTTGTTGTTGTTGTTGTTGTTGTTAAGTGCCGTTGCGTCGACTCCAACCCATAGCGACCCTGTATAGGGTTTTTGAGGAGCAGCTGGTGAGCTTGAACTGCTGACCTTACAGTTCAAACGGCTTTACAGTCTGGCTCATTAACCCACAATAGGTAAACAAAATTGGATACATAAATACAGTGGAATACTGCTTAACAGGAGAAACTTAGTCTTGATACATTACCAGTATCAATACTACTCAGCCAACAAAGAAATGAAGTCTTGGTACATCAAACGGAGCTTGAAGACATTATACTGGTGAAATGAATCAATCACAACAGGGTAAATAGTGCATGACTTCACTCATGTGAAAAGACAAGAAAAGGCAAATGTATAGAGAACCAAGTTTACTAGTTGTACCAGGGGCAGGAAGAAGGGGAAAAGGGAGAATTAATGGTGATGGGAAAATCACATTAAAGGTAGGCTGCACAGCTGATTATTGTAAATGCTGTCAATAAGTTGTAAAAATGTTGAATTGGCAAAAGTGTGATAGCTATACTTACAATAAAGACCAAAAGGGGTGATAGCTGTTGAGGCTACTTACTTATGTTTTTATTGTTGTTAAGTGCTGTCGAGTCAGTCTCAACTCATAGCAACCCTGTACAGGGATTTCTGAGGAGCAGCTGGTGGGTTTGAACTTTGTTAGCAGTCCAGTGTTTATCCTACACCTACAACCAAAACCCTCATGGGATTTGGTTTCTTGGTTTGGGGGTTTAGAGTCATGGTTTTGTGGGACATCCCGGTTAATAGACCTAATAACATGGTTAGTGCTTCTGTTCTACTTCCTAGTTCATTGTGAAGTGCATGGGATCTTAAAGGTTTGCAAGCTGTCATCTAAGGCACAAAAATTGGTCTCTTCACCTGAAACAATAGAGGAAGAAGAATCAGATTATCTCCATGATCAACTACCTCCCTTGCCAAGTGACCCAGAAGAACTGGATGGTGTCTGTCTACCATCAAAACTGAAAATTTTGATCAAAGATTCTACAGGAGAATCCTGATCCTAAGGAGGAACATGAAGAACAGAATTTCAAATTCTCATGGAATTCAAACTTTCTGGAGCCATGGAGACTTGATGAAGTCCTGAAATGATAACTATAAGATAACATTTA